CCTACATGGTGGTCACACCAACCTTAGAAATGACTGTAACCAGGTACTTTCACTTTGGTTTATGTCCCAGCAATCTGAGACACCACATTCATAGCCATGACCTCTTACAGCAATGACACAATGACCAACAAGAAGGAGGCTTTTGACTGCATACACAGTATGGAGACCACTGAAGAAACACCATTTCTCAGTGCTTAGGTTTATATATAAATCTCCCTTCTACAAATAATAGTTTGTTTTGCAATTTTTCCAGTCATAACTATATATGAGCAAACATCAGCAGATCTTTTAAACTCGTGAGAATCCTTCTGTAAGAGGGAAAAACCAGCCCATCTTTACTCCTGTTTGTCACATGGCTCAAAGAAGTGCCCATTTGTGTGCGTCCAGCCCCTTTATATGAAACTGAGAGCAATGAAGATGCTGACAGCTTCTATTTGTCCATATGGAATCCTGCAGAGATGGCAGAGAAAACATCCAGCATTAATAATAAAATATACTCCTCTTCATGTTAACAAAAAAATACCTTTACAATGATGAAAAGATGTGGGTTCCCTCCAGTGTGGTTTTCTCTGCATGGTTGGTTTTTGCATTTCTTTCAGCTTGCTCCTTGTAATCCATTTCCAGTTGGGTTTTTTTCTTCCCAAGTCTAACATAAAGCCTGATGTTACAAATTTGGCCTGTGACAGCTTGAGGATCATGTTTATTTGTTTAGACAAAGTCTCTTTCCTTCCAAGTCTATTTTAAATACCATGGAAAGTCTCTTTGTCCTGAGGTTTTGTTTGTCATTGTTAGTTATTAAAAACCTTGCTCAAGGTCAGCAGTGACACAACCGTCCTTTGCAAAAGGCATCGTCCACAGTTCAGGGATGGCTTTGGGAGGCCCTGAGAGAACAAGGGAGAGGAGAGGAAGATCGAGAGGTAAGAACTTTTCCTAGGTGGTTTGAAAAGTTTCTTTTTCTTCTAAGAAGACTACTTGACCAGAAGTAACCACGAGGCAAGAGCTGAAGCATAAACTGTGCAACGCTCAGGCCTGGCTTGGCCCCATGTCAAGGGACAAACTTTGGTGGGCTGGGTTTTTTTCCCCCTGTCCTCATGGTTGGGAATGTGCCATGATTTAAAACCCCTGTAGCATTAGCTGCCCCATTACACAAAGCAGAAAGCTGAGTGACTGACCTCATCTGCTAGAACAAGTGTTTTAATGCTGTCCAAAGTTCGAATCAATCAAAAGGTCAAACTTGTTTAAGGCAGTGAGTGATAAGAGAGGGGATGGCTCATTCCCAGCCACTGGAATAGAGCCAGCCTGGCTGCAGGAAAAACTCCAGATAGCACATACCCTGGAGACCAGTGACAGCTCAGAAACAGAGGGCTGAGTCTCCCCAGTGGCTGGAGGGAATTCCCGTCAAATGCAATAGAAGCATTTAGGGACTGGTAAATAATAGGACCCCGGTGAATAGGACTTTAGGTAATTGTCCTGGCAAGCCTTGGTCAGAAGTCAAGCCATGGTTTCTCTAGTCCAGTGAGGTTTTCAGTCAGGTCATGGAATGGACAGTTAGAGGAAAATGTGATTTTCTAGCTGGAAGATTTGTTCCTTTTAAAGAAGGGAAGACCGAGGTTACGTTGGTAACTAAGTGTGCTCCCAGCACAGCAGCTCTCGGAAATGGCAGATCTCTGGTGGCCTCTCCATCAGCATGGGCAGCATGGTGGATAAAGAGAGACGTGCAAAACTTCTGGTCAGTATGAAAGGTTTGAGGACAGCTGATTCTAAAGAAAGAGGAGGACAGTTTACCTCCTTTGGGAGGGATAGGGAGGAAGAGGAAATTTGTACCTTGCTCAGCTGAGACGGGAACAGACCTTTTCCCCCACACCATCAAAGGCAGGTTTTCCCTTCCAGTGCTTGCTTCTGTGAGGGGGAGAACATGGTTTCTGTGGAAAACTTACCTTCTGGTGCTGTGTGGGGCTGCTCAGTAGCTCTTTGGAAAACTCTTTCCACAGGTTGAGCTGTTGCCTTCCCCAAGGATCTAATGGCTTAAAACAAAGGGGAAAAAAAGGAGGGGAAGCAGGCAGTGAGGTCTTCTTATGGTGTGCTCCTGCCATGTGAATTATGATGGGGGACATTGCTGGGGAGATAAAAATCCCATTAGCTTCCATAGCACATGGCCATGCCTTCATGGGCTTGCAAGGGATGGATTTTTTTATATATACTTTTTCTTTTGTGAGAGAAAGCTTTCTCCTAGGGCCAACTATAGAAAAATTCCCTGGCCTTTTTGGTGGGATTCCCTATTACTTACACAACCAGGATTTTCCGTGCTCCAGCTCTGGTGAGTGACCCATGCTTTCAACACATCCAGGGCCAAATGAGGATCTTTTGGCTCAGGGATGCATCTGTCCTGTTTTCTTGTACAGAAAAGATGTAAATAGTTCTATGGTGAAGAAAGATGATATTCAGGATAAGGAAAGGTGGCCCTGGCTACTGGCCTGGCATTAAGAAGAAGGATGGATTGAGGACCGAGTAACAGACCTGCTATATCACAGGACCACCATTGCTTATTAGATCTGATCTGAAGTGGGGGAAGAGGGAGGCTACAGCAGCTTGGGGCTGTGCTGGTGGATGAGCAGCAACTCATTTGTGTTATCATATCTAGCTGAAACTAAACAAGAACTGAAAGCAACTTTGCTCCCTCCGCTTGGTTCTGCAGAGGCACTAACACAGTGCAGAGAACCGGCATTTTGTGATGTTCTGGGCCTGCTTCTGTTGATGATGGCCTCTCAGCAGTGAGCAAGGCACCGGCCCCAGGTTTGCCAAGCCAGTGGCCACTGCACAGTGGCTGCATGGCAAAACCATTGACATGGTGATAAGAAATACAGGATCTCCCCTGGGAAAGCAGGAGGCATCAGAGGGCTGGGATGCAGGTGAAGACCAGGTGAAAGTTCCCTGCAGACCAGCTCCAGATTGCTCAACCCAGGTGGGCATCTGCACATCCTCCAGCCTCAGAGATTAGATCTGCTGTGCTTTTTACTAGCCTTCACCTTTGCTGTTGGCATAACCAGAAGCAGCAGCAGCAGTGTTGCAAAGAGAATGTTTTGTTGGTTTTTTTTTCTGAGCTCTGATTCATGAAACCAGATGCATCTGTGCTGGTTTTGAGCTCATTTGAATGTATGCAATGGACTTCTAGCTTTGAAAACTCATCAGTTACCAGGTGTCTTTTAAATTGCCTACCTTGTAAAATCATCGGTTGCCAGATGTCTTTTAAGTTGTAAACCTCTGTAGTCAGAGGTTAAAATTGTGTCAAAACAGTCACTGATAAGAGTTCATATTATACTTAAAAAACACTGTGATTTCTTCCAGCTCTTTCTCCTGAGAAGTTCTCTCATGGCAATTTTATGGCTCACAGAAGATTTGCTACCCACCCATCCCTATCGTTTCAGTCCCAGATTTAGTGATAAATGCTTTCACTAATTAACAGTTGCAGTGTCTCTGTACCTCTGTCTGGTAGATCTCTCATCTCTCTGACAATAGGAAAAAAAGGCCTATTGTAACTGGAAGAGTCGTGAGGGCTGTGTGCTGGTGGAAGGTACCTGCACCTGAACAGCCTGGATCCAAGTGCACATCTGGAGTTGTTTGTAAGCACGATTTTGCCCTGGACCTGGTTTTGAGCTCTAGGTAGCTGGAGGGGCAGGGATGCTTGCAGCGTTCCTAGGGTAATAAAGGGGGTTTGGCGCCATGTGGGGCTGGGAAGGAGCCATGGACGTCAAAAAGACGAGCAGGTTGAGCAGTGATTTCCTTTTTAACGCGGCCCTCAAGGGTCTCCTTCAGCCCCTGCGCTGTCTGCCAAAAGCTCATACTGAGTGACTATTTTGGGATAAAGCAACACCAAGTGCTACTTTGGAGATGTTTGGAGAGAAAAAAATCAGCTAATGAGGGCTGACATGCCGAAGATTAGAAAGAGCCATTCCAAACATCTGCCCTGACCTCGGAGGTGGGAGGCTTAATGGAGACATGGGTGTCCTGGGGCTGGGGTGCATTCTCCTGGGGTGGCTGGTGGGACGCAGCCCGCGCCGCGCTGCAGACAGCTCACCTCTTGTGAAGCCGTGTCTGACCTGTGAGCGCAGACCACCGGGGTAACTTGGCACTGCCTCTTTGCCTTGACAGAAGAAAAAGAAAGAGGAAAAAGCAGGCTCTGCGCTGCTGTGTGCTCAGGCTGGGAGCAGCCAAGCTCTGCATGCGGCTGGGGGTGGTAACTTCAGCAGTTGTCCCTGTGTACATCGGCCTGTCCCGGGATCGGAAGGTGCACGGGGGGAGCAGAACAGCAGAGCCGCAGCACTGCCCTCACCGCTTGGGACAGGCACTGCTGTGAGTTGCTCTGGGCTTCAGTTTCTGCCTTTGTTCTGATGTTGGCTTTTTTTCCCCTTTCTTTTCCTTTTTTTGTCATAGGACCAGCCCAGAACAGAATCACGGGATCAGTGTTTATCACGTTCCAAATAATCTATACCCTGTTTTTAGTGCTGACACTGTGTATGAAAGGCTATGTCACCGCTGCGCTCATGTTTCCATGTGACACTGAAGCTTACTGGTTTTTCCCATTTCATAACTAATAAGTGAAGTGAGCTTGACAGCCATGGTTTCAGCTTTGGCCCCTTGGTTCCCATGTCACAGATAGGCTCAGTTAGCAGCAAATTCTTGTCAGGAGAAGAGAATTACAGTTCAAGCTTGAAATGTGCTAGCGTCCAGTGCAAAGTTTTAAATTCTTGACCAAAGTTAGATAAAGCCAGCTGAAAGTGTGACGTTAGAAATACAGTATCTATTTATCCTCTCCTTCTGACCAAAAATACCTAGGGTGGAACTATGCGCCTTATTTGCATCTAAGCAGAGAACAGCTGAGCTCCTCTAAAGAGGCGAGTAAACAGCGCATCTTAAATATTCGATTTCCTAAAATCTGTGCTATTCTCCCTATACGTGTATGTATTACCTACATTTAAGAAATAGGAAAAAATGGTATGTTTGCACATATCTTTAAAGAAAAAAGAATGATTGGTTTTCAAGGTGCAGGAGAGCTTATTTATCTAGGAATTAGAAAACAATGTTAGCTCTCCCACAGTAGTCTTTAATAGCTCTGCATTCCAGCCTGAGTACAGATGGAGCTTTGATATTATCGCCGTTTTGCAGTGACTGTGTGCAGTATATCCTGCTGCTAATCCTATGGTGGAAATCAGCGCCTCTTATCACCTGGTGCCAAGACACAACCATTTGCCTGAACTTGACACAACTGATTTCAGCAACAGGATATGGTGTCGTGGGCTGGATTTGGACATATCCTACCTTGGTAAGTCAACACCAGGCCCCTTCTAGACTGGTGCTGTGTGCTGAAATCCTCCTTCTCCTCATCTAAAATTGCTCCTCCATTGCTGCCATTCTGGGCTGCCCTCCTGGGTCGCTTTCAGCTCAGCTATTTAGCCAAGCTCCATCTTTCTATGTTCACTGGGTACTGCTCCTCCCCTCCGGGCATGCAGAAAGAGGATTTGTTTTTAGACTATGGTTTAGTTATAGTTTCCAGCAGGATGAGCTGGATCTCGCATCACTGCTTGGGCAAGGCAGGAACAGCATGTGAAATACAGCAGCTTCTGGGGTCAAATGAGGAGCAAGTGCCTGGAGAGCTGGGAGCCCCAGGCTCTTTGCTGCAGCCCTGGGCTCCATCAGGGTGATGCTGTTTACTGAGTCTCCCTTCTGGCTGTGGAGCATGAGTGCTGTAATGGCTGAAGTCAGATGTAGAGTCCTGATGGTTTTGATCTCTATTAACTTTGGGCAGCCAGATTGTGTTCTTTGAGAGTTTTCTCTAAACTGAATGGAAGAACTTGTGGGTGGGGGAGAGAGGGCTTTTTGGTAATGGCTTGCTAAATTTATGGTAAATCTGAAGGTATCCTTAGCCTGACCTCTGGTACATAACATAAAGTATTGAATTTCGTGCACTTAACTCCCACAGTTTATCCAAGAACTGGCTGACCACAGTACTTTCCTAAGAAAAGAAATGCTTTCAAATGCAGCCATTTCAGCATGGTAGAGTTCCTAATTCTTATTCCTAAAGACATGCCAACAGATAGGAGTCACATAGATTTTCAAGAAGGCTCTTGGACAAATATCTCCTGACCAAGGCTCTCCCTGCCTTCCCCTTAACCCCATCTTTCTCCCCAGACCTCATTCTGTCTGCTTCTTGTCTCCTCTCCTGGTCATGCTGGAGGTTACAGACACATTAAATAAGCTAAAGTGGCAGAGGGGGAAGAGGTATCCATTTGGGGAATAAGAAAGGGGCAGGCTGAAAGTGAGGATCATTTAACGCAGCTCAGCAGCAATGGGGTTAATCTGACCCAGACTGGGTGGGAAACTGTCAACTCACAAGAGGTATTTCTTGTTCTGCACAGGTGTTTGCAATGATGTTACTTTGCCTTGCAGTAGTGCTGTGACACAAACCCTGTTGGGCTGGAGACTTCACCAGTGCAGACTGGAAAGCTGTCCCTACCCCAAAGAGGTGTCAGACTCCCAAGGTACTTACTTATCTTCACCCATTCATTTCCCTTTTTCTTTATTTCTTTTTCAGTACCCAGCCTCAAATACAATGACAAATGAATGATTTCATGTAACCTGAGATAGGGAGAACTGGGATAGATGTGTCGCCATCCGGCACTGACCTGCCTGGGATAATAGAAGATTGGGGGATCTGTGTGTGGGATGCACAGATTTGGAGAGCTGCAGCATGGCTTTTCTAAAGTGACACAGCCAAAGATATTCTAGAGATTATCCTCCAAAAACTCAATGGTCAAGGGCTAAATGACTTAAATAGCAGTCAAATGTCTGTTTACTATCAATCACTATTGCCAGTTGAACTGCATTAATGAAAGTTTTGTGATAAAAGCTGCCATATCATCCGGAACTGAGATACCAGACTAATGAGCTCCTGCAAGGCTGGAGGAAATGCTCCTTTGGGCAGCAAAAGAGACGATGTGTCGCTTTCCTGAATTAGGCTGAGTCAAACGGATGGTCAGGCTCTCCAGAGAGGAGCAATTTCTTTCACCTTTTGGTGTTAAAGGACTGCTTTATCCATGTGTCAGGAAAGATTCTGGCTACCTTGAGACAGTTTAGCGTCGAAGCAGATAAACCTTGCTGGCCATCTGCAGTGGCCTGGGCTGAAAGCCACTGCAGCAGCACAGGCAGTGCCATGGCTACCCTGAGGGGTAGCAGAGGGTGTTCACTGTACATCCCTCTGCTATAACAGCCTTCCTTCTTGGAGAAAATGGATTGAAAATTGTATTTAACATTGCTGATTACAGTTATTCCAGATTTATTACCTGTTTTTTTGTTCGCTGTTTGGCTGCCTGCTCCCCCTCCATCTGCCAGCCCTGTAATCCACCTCTTCTTATCTCGGCACAGTTTGCTCCACCTCTTGCTCATTTTCATTTTATTGCCTAGCTAATCTCATCCTCCTGCTTTTCCTGACACTGTTCCCCCCTCCCCATCTGTGGAGATTAAATCACTGCTCCTTTTGTTTAATGCCACTCAAAATTCCCTCATTCCACTCAGGCTTTGGGATGCTTCCAGGCACTTTGCTGTTGTTGCACACATCCGTTTTCCTGGCACAAAAAGGCCTGTCAGCATCTGATGGAAGCGTTAGTGAGTCCTCGCTTCAACCAGTTCTCAGAGATGTCCTGAATCCGAAATGGAGCTTAGTTCAGCCTGAAACATGCACAGTGCAGCAGAGGCAGCTGTATGTGTCCGGTCACCACAGGAACACCAGCAGGATGCTTATGACATGTCTGCAGTGGTGTCAGAGCCTGGCACTGGAATATTAGTTGAGAAAAATCCAGTTCAAAGGCATGGGTTAGAAAATCTCCAAGCTACCAAACGTGAAGATTTGGAAGTGGTTTCTCAGATTAGTAGGTGATGTGTCAGTGATGTATCACATCATCCCTATTTACAGCATCTAGAGGCATGCCAGTATTTATGGCCTCAACAGTCTCTTGCTTTAGTTCCTGCTGAGGATTTTAGGCTTGCAGTTGACACTGGCCTCCCTGCTGAAGGGTAGTAAGTGCATCCTGGTCTGGGGGCACAACTGCAGGTATGAGTGGGAGCACTGGGTGTTTCAAGCCACATGTTTCTGGCACCCTCCTGCCTTCCTGCAGCTATGAACAGTGCTGGAGACTCTCCTGCCCATACTCCCTCCACCTGTGTGACTGCGAGTCCACTGCCTACAGTGCTGCTAATGTCTGTCTCAGATTGGAACAGCAGAGCCTTTAGCCCCAGACAATGTCAGAATGGATTACAGCCGAGGGGCCAAGCCCATGGAAAGGACTCCTTGCAGCAGCCAGTCTGCTGTTCTTCCCTGCTGCAAGCATCCATGCATGTTTGTTGCCAGCAAGAACAAGTCCTAAAGTCCTGGTTCAAATAAATATCTCCTTCAAGTGTATGGGGGATACTCCTCTTAGTGAGGACCACTGCTGTTTGGCCCTAATCGCTGAGTCTGGTTATTTTTAATCTGCTTTTTATCTCTCGCCTCAATTCTCGATTGGCAGTGCCAGCCATGATGCATTTTCTGTATCTCCCCTCACTACTTCTATCCGCCAGCATGTTTTAAATAAGTCTAAAGAGTACAAGAGCTAAAAAAACAATCCAAATGGGCAGCTTAAGATAAAAGCCAGCAGCATGCGTTTAAAAATAGACTGGGCAGCCCTGCGAGAGGTGCCAAGTAAGTGGGTGCACGGGAGGGGAACAGCGCAGGCTGAAGAGGTTCTGTTTAAACAGGAGGTAAATAAGGGGCAGGGGGAGCTGCAGTTCATTTTGTTCACTTACGTGTTGCTCAGATAATGCAACGCATCTCCAGGCAGCTCTAAAAGTGGACACAGCTCTTGGGTTTCACCGGGTGACACTCAGGCGGCAGCTCTCCTTCAGAGCCTCCTGCGGAGCGCCCACGGGAGCAGTGCAAGTGCATACCAGCAAAATGGTATTTGGTGTTTCAGTACCAGCAGCAGCACCCAGGTCTCAGCACTGGTGCTTTAGGAGGAAGACTTTTGCAGGGAAGAATGTGCCTTTGTGTTACACCGAGGGTCCTGCTGCAGAAGAGGCTGCCTGTAAATCCTCTTCCCTGCTGTGGCTGACCTGTGAAAACAGCAATCGTCTGACTCTGACAATGCACTTAGTAACTCAGGATTAAAGTGCCGTGTCCAGCAAGTAATTTACAGAAGCAGAGGTTAGGATTGAAGCAGATTTAATACAGCACAATTGTCTTGAAAGTCTCCTTGGCATGTTAATGGTGTTTTTCTTCGCTCTACATATACATGAGATGCTGAAAGGATGTGTCATCCTGAGCAGAGGATAAAAGGGACAGAGAAAAGCATTCAAAGATCTTGTCCAAACTCCACGCTATTGCACAATTTTGTGAGCCACTGGCTTCCCTAGGATAGGGCATCATCCCACTAGGGCTGCACTAGTCACCATTCCTCTCTCAGTGCTCCAGGGTGAGTGTTAGTGTCTTTATCTCTCTTCTTATTCTCTCTCCTTCCTAGTTGAGCTCAGCTCACCTGTGAGAAAGGATGAATATTTGTTAACCTTCAGTGGCTGTGGCAATGATCAACCAGCCCTTCCCTGCTCCCAAGGAGACTGTGTTTGAATTGGGCATGTGTTGCTCACTGTCATGGAGAATTCTCCTTTTCTCTGCCAAATGAGTCTTCTCAGGCTGTCTCTGTTGTGTAAACAGCAAATTCAGGGGGGAAAGGACAGCAGTGCTCCTTGGCCAACCATGGTTGTGTTAGTTGTGTTCTCAAGTTGACAAGTAGCTGTGTTCTCATAAAGAAGGCAGCAGAGAGTGAAGCCTTCCTCCTGGGAATAGCGTTCCCCTGTAAAGTTGGTGCCTGTTGGGTGAACTGCTGTCTACAAGATTGATTAGCTTAGAAAGGAGATGGATAGAATACTTGGGAGAAATGAATCATAATGAATTGTTATATGTGAGGAGTGACAAGCTAAACTTATGCATGCTCTGGACTACTTGTTTTAGTCAGAATGAAAAACTGTCATGTATTTTGCTGTTGTTTTGTTTTCATTTCTGGATGTGGGGAAGTAAATCACTGTGGTTTGAGTTTGTAAGGTCTTGCAATTGTTGACTGCACAATGTTTAATCTCCCTCTTGAGTTCTTGAGCTGGTCTAGGAGCAGCAACTCCTCTGGAATCAATACATTTGCCCCTGCCTTCAACAAATGGGATTTTGACCTGTTCATAAGCATGAAACTTTTAAGCTAAAAGAGAAAAAAACCATGTGTTTTCCTGATACTATGAGTGGTAGTGTTCTATGACAGTTCTGATTGAGGTGTAGCACCCTCATCTAGGACAGTAGATTCGCCTCCCATGCCAAGGTGAGTCAAGGGAGCTGTTGGTAGCAAGATTCATCAGAACCTTCAAACTCCTGCACAGATTCCCAGAAGAATCTCTGGAGGTTTTCTATGGAATTAGTCCTGGCAAAAATAGCAGGCTAAGGGGTATGTAGGCATTGTAACCTTTGGAATACCTAGGAAATAATGATCAGCAAGCTACTCCTGGAAGATAGCTTCTGGAATCTGCATAAGATGAAGGACACTATGAAAAAGATGATCTTTGTGAGAATTTGTTCTTAATCCCCTTCAAGAATCATAACCCATCCATGGGTGAGCTGAAACCTATCCCAAACTGTTGTGCTCGATTTGGGCGTTTTTGGTGTGGTACCAAGGGTCGACTGGTTCAAGGTTGGAGGAGTTGTGAGCTGCAAACAGTAGGAGGATTTGAATCCACAGCCTTCCTTTTAGATAGATCAGTGGTTCCAGCAGAGTGAGTGGGACTGCTGCGGTGTTTAAGTTCTTTGCTGGATCGATGCCTCTGGAAGCATTTGGAGAGATTTGACAGATCTTTCTGTCTCTTGCAGGTTCACACTGGCGTTAGCCCAGCCATGACTGCGTGAGGCAGACCATTGTTTCTGTCACCGCTGGGAGAAGGCATTTTTCTCATCACAGAACAAAGAGCACTTCAGGGTTCAAAGACAAAAGGTACCAACTGACATTTAATATCACTACTAATTATATGTCAAAAACTAATAAAGGTTAGGGCTAAATTAGTGCATTTCTCCAGATGTTTTCACAGTTGCCCTGGCTGCAGCACAATGGGTTCTGTTCTGAGCTGTTAGGTACTCATACTGGCCTTTCTCACCTCCACTGATGTGGTTGCTCCTAGCACGATCAGATGCAGGCTCCCACTTACTAAGTGCTATGAAAGGCATCACTCTGACACAAAGTGGAAAATTCTCCTTGGGGTGCAGAGCTCTAACAGGAGGCAGGCAGTGGGGGTGACTGCTTATAGACCTGGCCCCATGCTTTGAGATGTGAATTCATATACAGTAACTTCTGTGAAAGCAGCTATTCTTGTTCCTGCCAAACTGCTCTGAAGACCCATACAATGACGTTAATTGTGAGCTACAAGCTGGCTCTTATCTCTGAATTGTTTTTCTCTAACAATTTTAAGAAGAGCTCAGCATGTTCTCAGTGGGAGCTGATAGATGCTGAGCACTTCTGAAATCCTGCCAACTTCATTTAGGTTCCTAAATGGGAGCTGAGTGCTTTTGAGCATATGATCCTAAGGGTGCATTTTATAACACTACAAGCTCTGTCCATATCACTTCTTTCCTCTTTTACTGTCCCCATCATGCTCCCAGCAGTGAAAATAACACTAACAGCACCAGGCTAGTCGAGGCTTGAGTGATGTCTCAGTTATTATGTCAGCTCAAGCGACACTGAACAGAATTAAATGACACAGTTAAAAGGCGAGTGCCTGTCTGCATCCTGTCTGCAGTAGGCTCCCCATCCTTGCTACTGGCAGTACAGATATAATTGAGATGGGATTTTATATATGTGTATGTATTTGAAAACAGAAAGGTAGTGAAAACTGCCTCATTTTTTAGTATTTCATCTTGCATTTCAGGCTGTACTTGACAATGCTCTAACTCCATTTTAGGATTCAAATTTTCTCCTAAGTAGATTCTTGGGGCAGATAAAAATGAATATATTTTAGTGATTGAATGGCAGAGGAGGAGGGAACACTGAAGCTTTTCCAATAGTTAGTGCATGGAAGGCATCTGTTTTGGTCCTGTGAGGCTAACATCCTCTCTTGGCAGTGAGTGGAAGAACCTGGGGGTCAGAAAATCTGGGGGGCCCATGTGCTGTGGACAAAAGTATGGCAATGAATTTAAACATGAGTGACTGGAGTGATGTTGGAGGGCCGGCTAAAAGCGATTAGCGTAGCGCTCTGGAATGTGGCCTTTCAATAGCCGCTCCAGAAGGATCTGCAGCCCCATTGACTTTTGCAGTGTCAGGAAAGAGCCCCTGCGCTCCAGCTTTTCCCAGTTGGAAAAGGTGAACGTGCAGGGCAATACGCACAGCAACCACAGAGCTCCCTGCTCTGCTCCCCACATGCCTGCTGGCTGCTTTCCTGGTGCTTTCCTTCACTCCAGAGAAATCTGATGCCCCAGAGATTCACAGGGCCACCAGGTCCTCCTGCATTGCCAGAAACCCCCTTGACGATATTCATCAATGTTAGTCCATAGCCTTGCTGTTTGTTTACCCTGGGCCAAAGCACTGAAAGCCACCTTTGGCTGTGATCTGGCTGTTGTTAGCTGTGCAGTCAGGTAGTGTGTCAGCGTGGGGTCTGGGTGTTCTGTTTCCACTGCTGCCTGGGTTTTGGTCTCTGGGAATGCACCCAGCAGGACTGAGCGTGTGTCTGCGGCCACATTCACTTGTTTCGTTTCCTTTTCTTTTCCTGTATCCCTCCCCCACCTTCTGATTTCTAGGTAGATAAATCAAAGTGTGGAATCAATTATTATAAAGCTCGCTGGAGTGCCTCGCTGATGTGAACACATACATTTTCAGTTGAGGTGGGAAAAGAATGTACTCATTCAAGCCCTCATCTAGGGCAGGGAATTCCCTAGCTTTTGTCTAAATATGGCATGCAAGAGCAGAGCACAGGCAACGCAATACTTCACTGAGTATTGTTTAAAAGGGTGCTTGGCACCGAGCAGCAAGTAGGATTCTTGTAAAAACATGGCACGAAGAGTTGTTTGACAGATTCTGACATAGCAAAGACTTTACAAGAGGCAGGAAAAAAAAAGAAAAGAGAAGGGAAAAAGAGAAACTGCAGAGTACATGAAGCCAAAAGCACACTCTCTGCCTAGGAGGAATGCAGAATAAAAGGCACTTAGGACTGAGTCATACCCTGCATGATATGTGGGTCTGATCCTATTAGTGATCAATGGCACTTAGTTAAAAACACACTCCTGAAAACACACTGCCTGTTGTCAGTCATTCAGGAGAGGTAATGAAGTAATGCGAGCTGGGGAAGAGACTGCTATGGGTTGAACCCACTGACCAAAGTCTCTGTCACAGACTTTCCTGGTTGAAGAGCCCCATTCTCTGCTGTCCTGATGTTGCTGTGCAGTGTTTCACCCTGCAGGTAGTAGCACTTCACTAACAGATCTTTGAATGCAGCGCTCAGTACCAAGGAATCCTGTGGTCTGGGTAGGTGTCTCCCTTTTTGCAGAGCTTACACTGAGCTGTGGGTTTGAATACCTATTGCAACAGTGAGCGACAATTCATGCCTGGAAGAAAACCCATCTCCCACCACCTCTGCCACATAGAATCATAGAATAGTTAGGGTTGGAAAGGAACTTAAGATCATCAAGTTCCAACCCCCCTTTCATAGGCAGGGACACCTCACACTAAACTGGTGACACTGTGAGTCTCTCAGAGCACAAAGGCCTTTACACATCTCAGCAATGGAGATTGACTCTATCACTGTCACCAGGCTCATACAGAGAAGGTCTCAGCTCAGCCTTCCCTGTCTGAAGTGAAGCCCTTCCCTGAATTCACCTTGAATGCAGCATCCATACTAGATGCATCACATCTGGAGCTTCCTCATATCGGGGATAAGACACTCTTCCTAGGTCGATTGGTTGGATGGTGTCTTGCAATGTAAACTAGAATGGCAGTCTGTAATTAGCATATAACCTCAGGCAGTTTTGTTGTTCCTGAAATGCAAGGACTAAATTTTGTTCTGCAATAGTGTCACTTAAGGTGAGTCCATTAGCTGCTCTGCGTTTGTACTAGTGTTACTGAAAGCTGTCTGGTATGGAATAGGAACAAGAAGGTCTCTATTGAGATGAGACCTGTGGGCATCTTCCAGGGAAACCAAAGGGAAGGCCATCACATATTTTACTGTGTCACCCATGAGCAAAGCAACAAAGTCCAAGAGTTTATGGGTCTTTTAGCAAAGCTCAGGAGAGAGCAAAGGCACACAAGCAGTCTCCCACCCTTTTTGAGCATTTCAGGTGATGTTATTAATTGTTGTGGAGCTGCTGCAAATATTTCTGAAAGCAAATATTTGATGTCCCCATCCACTAGAAAATAAGTGTAAGAACTGCCTGCCTGCCACTCACCTGGGCATCCCAACAAAACCAAGCCAGGCCTGAGGATAAATTGCAACGACTGCAGAGCTTTTGTTGTCAGCTTCTCTAGGAACAAGAGCTGGGATGGGAGAGCAAACAACACCTGCCTGGGAGGACCTGGGCTGAAAGGGGAGTGGAGGCTGGTGGGCAGAGGCTGTTTGTGCAGCCGTTGGTCTCCAGGGTGGAGCTGCTGGCAGAAGTGGGAGGAAGATGCTACCTCCATCAGCCCATGCTAATGCCATGCTAATGTAAGAGGCAGAATGGATGAGAGCCCTGCTTCCTGTACCCCAGCCAGTGATAGGTAGTGCTCTGCAGTGCCTGGCAGGAGGAAAGACTCTGGAGTGGACCTGCTCCTGGCTGCTGTGTGGGTCACACCAGGAGACACCTTGCAGGGATGGATGGTCCCTTATCTGGCAGAGGAGGCAGATCATTCACTGCTCACACCTCTACCCAAGGATGAATTTTGCTAGGGAAACCAGTAGCCCGAACTGGAAGCAGGGAAGATAGATGCGTTCTTTACGAGCTCTGGCTGGGCATAGGCAGGGCCCCAGTACCCAATGCCCAAGTGATCTGCATTTGGGTGCTGGGATTTTTCTTAATTTTCTTACTTTTCTTTTTTTTTTTTCCTTTTTCTGTTTTTAGCCTTTTAAAAACAAACTTCAGATCCATCACATGGAAGTGATCTCATCGCATTACAGATTCGCCTTCCTGGGAAACTAAACTTCTGGTGTAATCATGGGAAAGTCTCACCTTCCCTTTTTTAGTTTCCTTTAACCAAGTTTCTATTGAAATCGGCTTGGCAGGCTAACAACTCAGAAGCTAAGAGACAAAAGACAACTCTTCATTACTATTAGGATTTGTTTTAATCTTATGATTTGCTTACCAATCTCATGATTCTGGGGAGATGGCAAGTTGAGTTTTGAATACTTAATGACATATATCTAAATCTATAGAGAAGGTAGGTCCCCTCATAATATGTTTTACCAACACAGTAGTCTTTCTGTCCCACTGCCAACAGAAAAAGAAGCCCCCTAATTAATTATTGCTCCATCTTTTGTAGTCTTCTTTGAGCTGCAACAGTTTCTGTTCACTCATACTCTCATTCTAACTCTTACAAATCCTTTGCACAACTGGAAACCCGGCTTAGCAAATCCAATCTCGCCATAGTCAAGCGAGGAAGGACTTGGCTCCTCTTCAAAGGGAGCTTTTATCAAGTGTTTAGTGTGATGTGACAAAGCAGGGAAGTGTGCCATGGATGTGATGCTTCCAAATTCCCCCCTTCTACCGTGATTAAACTTAAGAGCAATTACCCAGGTTGATGAACCTGCCAATGTGCATCTTGTTTACAGCTCTGCTGAGTTTTTAACATGTTTTCCTGTTTTGGACTAGGACAGCACGCATCCACTTTATGCCCTGGATAAAATCCCATTTAAAACATAGAGTTTCTAATGTTTTGCCACTAGAACCATGGGAAGAAGAAAGCCTTTCCTGGGACGCCTTGGGACATCGCTGCTCATGTGCAGTCATGTTTGGGCCCCAGCAGACCTGCGAGGTCTTGCTGACAGAGGAGGAAAGCTTGGATGGGGCCAGGAGAAATGAAAAAGATTTATCCTGGGACTATTTTATTGTGCTTGGAACAGGCATGCACCGTTAGGTGTGAGCGGGCTCTAGATGCTGCTGTAAATCCCCGATGAAAGTTTCATGGCCTTTGCTGTTTCATTTTGCCCTGTTTTATTTTGTGTGTTTCCCTCTCATCCCTGGATTCCGCTTTATTCCTAATTTTGATAAATTTAGAACATCGGATCAAAGTCTTATTTGAAAAACAACAAAAACAAAACCCAACAGATTTTGGCAATAAATACTTTGCAAAACATACTTATTTTACCAATTTCCCAGTTGCCCAAAGCGGTCACTTTAAAAATGACTGCATCTGACTCATTTTACTTGAAAAAAATCTTCTTTCATTTTTCTCTCTTTTTTTCTTTTTTTCTTCACAAGAACCAGGACAATTTTCAGAGGAACTTTACCAGGAGGAATGCACACCAGCACCCACCAGCACCCTGTGAAATTTCCATGTTTGGTTTTGAAACTGTCAGGTTATGTGGAGAAAAACAAATATGTCGTGAATTTTCCAGTTCAGTAACTTTGTAGTTTGGTGTTCTTGCCTTGAAGTCAGGGCAGAATACACCTGGGGACAAGAGCTGCTCACCCTGGTCGTTCTGCCTCTGCCCTGTGTTTCATCCAGCTGGTCCCAGCCCATCGCTCTGTGCCCAAGCAGACAACTGTCTTCCTCCTCTTTCCTCCGGATAATCTTCCCTCCTTTTGTTGACTAAAATCATAGAATCACAGACTGGTTTGTGTTGGACAGGACCTTAAGATAGAATCATAGAGTCATAGAACAGTTAGGGTTGGAAAGGACCTTAAGATCATCCAGTTCCAACACCCCTGCCATGGGCAGGAACACCTCACACTAAACTATGACACCCAAGGCTCTGTCCAACCTGGCCTTGAACACCGCCAGGGATGGAGCATTCACAACTTCCCTGGGCAACCCATTCCAGTGCCTCACCACCCTTACAGTAATGAACTTCTTCCTTATATCTAACCTGAACTTCCCTTGCTTAAGTTTGAACCCCAAAATGACAGGAAACACTCTATTTCAGTTGCAGGACAAATCAAGATTATGACATGGCACTGGACCGTTCTTTGCCAAGGACTCACTGGTTGCCTGTGAAGCCATTTGTGGACAGTGGTGGGACACCAGGCCCAGCTCATGGTTGAAAATCACTCTGTGCCAGGACTCCAAATGAGGTACAGCGCTGCAGCCATGCTTGCTCCCAGAACTGACACAGTTCACATATGGCACGGTCCTGGATGCAAAAGCACCCTCTGCGCACTGAGGAGGGCTTTTCAGTGGGCCCGTGCTGAGGCAGCACCGGGTCAGCTCTTGGCTGCTTTGCCCACCTTGCATGCAGAGCAGAATGTTGGCTTAGCCTGGGTGGGATCTACCTTTGAGCACTTGGAAGTGGGAAGTGCCTGATTGCAGTCTGGGACACACTGCCAGGAAGCAGCGTTGGCCTTTGGCCAGCCCAAAACAGGGAGGTGGCAAAGCTGCCTTTGATGCCTCAACTCCTATGGAGTGGTAGCTCCTGGAGGGGTGGCCCTGCAGGCAGAGCCATGGTGAGGCTCTCTAACAAGCTGTTCCCGTTCCTGCTCGGTGTGGATGGGGCAGCCCATCGGCTCTCCGCTGTGCTGGAATATCAGCCAGCGCTGGTGCCTTGGCTCTGTTGTTTCAGGCCGCAATGGGTAATTTTTAATCCCTCTATTCAGAGTGTTTCAAGGAACAGGAGGAGAAACATACGGCATATGCTCACCTCGGCTGCCAGGAGGAGTGGGGGAGTGTGTCCCAGCAGCTGCTGGGGTAATGCTTGTCCTTCTGTCCACGACTGCATCCCAAAGATGTGCTCAGAGTGCTTGGGCATCACCCCCGTAAGCAGGCGGGCTCCACCAACTGAGCATGGCTTGGGGGGCAAAGTCCCTTCCTCCCCTCAGCAACCCCATGGGGTCAGGGCCTGTGGCAAGTGCAGTGTAGAGACTGGAGGAGGGACGTTTTCCTCTCCTGTGTCTCTCTCAAGCAGACCAGCTCCACAGCGGTACTGGGGCACTTCAAAGGTACAGGTTATCCCACAACAGTCACACTGCTGCAGAGGCTTTTGGGATACAGGTGCCTTCAGTGTCTGGAAATTGGTTGGGTTAAGGATTCATGTTTGACCACAGAGGGTCTATGGTGAGATCTGGGCTGAATGTAGCTGTGGCCTCAAAGCACATAAGATATCTGCAGCAGTAGTGAGTGGGGGCAGGATGCAGTGCTCAGCCACTAGAGACCTGGATCCTGTATCACCCAATGTCTTCCCTTGCCATCACATCTCCAGCACATCACTCCCTGATGTGCTGTCATTGCTCGCTGTCCTGGCCATCATCCTGACCCTACTTGCAGTAAATAAGAGCAGTGTTGGTGGCACTGGTGGACCTAACATCTCCGCCCTTCACTTGTTCTCTCCTGCATCCCTCCCCTGCCTACCCTGATTTCACTCTCGCTGCATTGCCTGCTCTGGGCACCATCTGGTGAATTTTGGGCTGTCTCATCTCACCAACTGTCATTTGTCCTGGCTGTGGTGTAAACGTGCTCACATTTTGCATCAAAGGACCCCTAAACCATTCACTTTGTGGACCAGCCGGCCTGTCGGAGAGGAGCCAAGCAGTTGGCACTCAAATAAGCAACAAGCATTAATGAAAGCATTACAGTGAGGTTAGTGCCTCATTAAAGTAATGCTAACGAACCGGCTGCCTTCCAGAAGTATGAATTTTTAACTAATGCTTCCTCCTTCTGATTTTATGTATAATTAAATCTTCCTAGGGAGGCAATATTCAGTTCTTCAGGCTGCTACAGCCTAAGCAAAGCCCAGTTCAGAGGATTTGCTCTGGAAATGCACTGGATCTGTTGGGATCAGTCTCTGGCCGCATCCTGCAGCCTCATCGTACACGGTGCACAATCTCTGTGTATCCACGCTGTACAGTAGTGGCAGCACCCTGGATTCATAGACACTGAAATGAAAAGCTGGGCACCTCCTGTTTGCTGCTAGTGCAAAGAGTCAGGGAGAGGGCCCATGCCATGCGGTCCATGGGCACTCGCTGCTCCACAAGCAGCATCTGAGCTTTGCTGGATGGAGACTGCTGGGTTTGGGGGCTGGGGACTGATGCATCTGCTCCTACGAAGCAGCAGAGATTTGTGCCGGAGGGGTTTTGCTCTGAGCCCTGCTTGAGCACCCTTAGGGCTGGCTCCACGAGGTGCTCCTGCCTCCCCATGCAGCCGGGGCAGACACCCGACTGCCCGCAGAGCCCCGCGGCTCCTTTGTAAAGCAAATCAGTTCTGCCTTGTGCAAGGAATGGCCTGTTCTTGGGCAGGCTTGGCAGCGCAGGGAGGAAAGCAGCTGCTGCAGGACTCACAGCCCCTTTTTACTTCATCTGCTTGGCTTTAGAAGTGCGTGACAGGCACGGGAGCGCCGGCGCTGCTGGGTACGCAGCCACTGGGGCATCTCGCTGGCCGGGGGCTGAAGCTCTTCCCCGCTCGTGTGAGCGCTCTGCCGGTCCTCCTCATACCTCCGACAGGCTTTTGTTCTCTTGCTCCCTCTGAAGCAAACTCGGAGGTTTCATTGTCGAAGGGCAGTGTCTGGAGGATGAATTCCTCCCTTTCACCTTGTCTGACGGGGAGGGTCAAGGGCAAACCTGGTGGTTTGAATGATAAATAATCACTTTCTTGAACGGAAACAACCACTCCAGATGGTTTCTGCTGCGTTTAGTAGCTGATTTGAATGGTCTGCAGGGGGAGAGGGTGTCATCAAAATGAATTTGGTATTACACCACGGGGTTACGTTTGGCTTATTGGAGAGACTGACTCAGAGCTCAAAGAAGCTGCAGGTTTGTGCTACGGCTGTTCCCCTGCTACTTCCTAGAGCTTATGGGTTACAGGGAGCTACACAAGCAATGACTGGGCTTTTGGGTGTGCATGCCTGGGGCTGGCAATGGCTCAGGGTGAAGGATGACCACAGCCTGGGGGAGTTCACGTCTCACTGATAACTATCCTCTTTGTTTCCGTGCAGAGTTTGCTCTTGCAAAGGCTTCAGCTCTGCAGACAAGCACTATCCTTGCTGCAGTGAAATTAATAGGGTGTCTAGGGGCAAAGGTAAAACTAAAGTACATAAGTAAATGTTTGCAGGATCAGGACCTTATTCAGGCATACATCAGGTAGCTCCAGCCAACAATAGAATTACCTAAGTATAAAATCCCATGTAAGCCAGTGAGATCAGCTCCAACCTGCTATGAATTTGCTTTTTGTTTCCATGCCAAGAATATATCACTTCTAACTGCTGCAATCAGGTCTGGTCCTTTTTATGTTTTTTTTTTAAGTGCTTTAGGCACATTTATTTCCCATCACCAGCAGATACGCACAGAGCCTGACCCTCCTTTTCTTGGGCATGTCCCAGCCTGCTTCACTCACAGTAAGTTGTCGCTATCAGGGAGCATTTTTTATTCCCTTGCCTTTTCTGTTGCTGCATTCAGTCAACAAAGGGACAGCAGCGACGATCCAAAACCGTTCTTTGTATTTGCCTGGGAACAGAGTCAACTATTTGTTGGTCTTTCGCTGGTGGGGAATTCTTTCTTTCTTAGCTGGTGACCGTTTAAACGGCTACTGGTACCTGTGGTGCAGCACATACTGGTGTTGCAGGATGTGTTCCAGATGGCACTGGGCAAACATGGAGCAGGAAGTGATGATGAACTGCATGCGGAAGGTATCAGATCAAACCAAAGGTCCTGGGTACAGTGGTCCCCACTGTTCCTCCCAGAGAACATGAAAACAGGCTGGTCATGGTATGTGCCTCAGTTTCCCCAGTTCTCAGCACACTGTTTTGAGATGGCCCTAAGACAATGTTTGCAGCAGTTGAGCCAGGATGAGACCAGTTCTTGCAAATGAGCTTGGGCAAAATACCTGGGAGAAGGAAGGCAGGGAGAGATGGGGGAGAGAGAAGGAAGCTGGAGGCTCTGTTAGAGTGAGGGCAAACTTATTAGTCCCTCCACCCCTAGGGCCATGCAGCAGCAGAGCAGGAAGTGAAGGCAGCTCCTGGACCAGGTCCCATTCCCTTCCCTGCCTGTTTCTCCAAGAACAGCCCATGAAAAGGCACTTGAAAGCCCAGGCAGAGCCTTCCCTGCCTGTTACACTGGGACACAGCAGTCCCCAGGTAATGCATTTCCCAAGTGACATTTAGGTCTTCCATTACTTCTGAAAATGGTCCAGACGGTCCCGATTGATGTGCTGTAGAAAAATGGTGCCTGTGACCTGCTTTGCTGTGACTGCCCTAGTTACTGGTGGTTTGGTTTTTTTTTAATAGGTTTTGCCTTCTCAGTCTTGTGTCTTGAAGCAGAAGCAAAACCCACCAGGTGACTGTAACTGCTGTTCCCACAGTTGTGCTTTCCTTGTGGCATAATCACAGCTCGGTATCTCAGGTATGCCAGAAATGGGAATCCTTCTCCCACACCACACAAGGGGCTGCTGGCTGGCACGGAAAACAAATCCCCCTGAGCTGCTGTCCTTTAGAAGCCATTATTTCAATAGACCTCAAAATGAAGAAGTGCTGGGGGGAAGCCAGGCGTCACTCGTGAGTGGCCACACTGGAGCACTTGGTGCTCGGCTGCCAGCATGCCTGTCCTAGTGCAGCGGCTCCCAAGTGGGGTCTGCAGCACAGCAGCCTCCTCTCTCCACTCTGGGCTGTTCCAGGGAATGTTTCGCAGTCCCATGAGGATTTCCACTTCCCCGTCCATTGGGGAAGGCAGTGATGTGCTGCTGCCCTTTACTGTTTCTGTCAGGGCTTAGTTTGGTTCAGCTCTGGAACAACCCCCAAGCCCTCTGAGGGAACACTCGGTGTCAAAGCATCTTCTTGCAGCCCTAGAGCAGTGCTTTCCTCCCACGTGTCCCCATGCTTTGGGCACTGGCGTGTGCTGGGGACATCCTGGTGTCATTAGAGCCATTTGTCACCCCTGGGTGCTCAGGGGCTGGGGTAGGAGTTGCTTCCCTGCCTGTGCCAGCCATAACCACTGCTGGTGCTGCAAAACACCCCCCCCCCACCACCACCACCACCCCCCGCAGCTGAACATCCCCGGGAGCCATATGGCATCGCTGAGGCTTTGATTGAATTGAACCAAACCCAAAGCAGCCCAGCAGGTTGGACTCCAAGCCACGGGGAGCTCCGAGGGGGGCCTGTCCTACCCTGCTTGGGGCATGCAGGCTGCCAGCTCGGGTGTTAATAACACACATTAGTGTCTGGATGGAGCTGCTGGGGGGGTCGGGGGTTTGCATACAGAGGATGGGTTTTCAGCCAAGTGATACAAGTGGAAGGCACAGCATCTCAGGGTGGTGTTTGAAGCAGCTGGCACACAGAAGGTGGAGCAGGGGGGGTTGGGACACACTGTGTTGGCTGTAAACCCAGGCCACAAAAGCCATGATTCAAACCTGTTCTTAGGACCATGACCGGCTCTGCAAAGCCACCATGAGCTGCAGGAGAGCCCTGACCTGAGCTCTGCTCTTTCAGGTGGGGATAAACAGTCCTGGAGCACATCAGTAGGAGAGGTGCATGTGGCTCCAGCCTGCTGGTGTCCACCAGAATCCCAAATCTACAGAGGCAAAAAGCCTTGCACCTCACTGCAGTACTTTGCAATGCTTTGAGTTTGCTATGGAAAATTGAGCAGTACAGGTTTGTTGGATCTCAAACACTGTATGGTCTGGTCTCCAGAGCAGAGCCATTCCCTGCTGTTGGCCGTGCCCAGCTCCCAGAGCTGCCCTGGTAGGACTGGGTACTTGTGAGCAGCATCTCCCCCCCCCAGGATGCACAAGCTGGAGGAGAGATGCATATCCTCCAGCGTGGAGCTATGGGGAGCCAGAGTAACTCACTGATTTCAGGGGACTGGCCAGAAAGGACAAGGTCGTGGTGAGGAGAATGGATGTTTCATATTGCAAAGGTTTCTGGAGGTTTGCTCTATAATTCTTATTATGTGGAAATGCCAGATTTCAGTGTTCACTCTACAGGAATAAAAGGGGTGGGAGAGGATAACAGAGTCTAATTGGTTTTTGGTTTGATTGAATTGGTTTTTAGTTGTGTACCCGTAATGTGATGTCATGAAAAAAAATCTAACCCTATAGAAACCCATTTTGAAATGAGTAACCCCAACATTATTTGTCATTGTCTAACAAGGATGTTGCAGTGTTGCTGGGACTTCCCTTCTCCCCAGCCCTCCTCACCTGAATACAATATTCTGATACAATTGATGGGGCACTTGGACTCTGATAGCATTTGCTTCCACCTTATTTCTGAGGCCATCCTCCTGTCACGTCACAGCTACATGAAGGTATGTAAGCTTTACTACCCCACTCTCTCCCTCCCATGAGGAGGATGGGAGCTGGACAATTCCTCCAGCTCCTCAG